CAGATACCGAACTTCATGAGGGTTCTTTTTATTAATAAAGCTTTTCTTTTCAGTCTGTGGGCAACAGATCACTACCAGCCTCTACGGATATTTGCTGGCCATCTTGCTGATGTGACGTGTACCCGATTTCATCCGAACTCTAACTACATTGCCACGGGCTCAGCAGACAGGACTGTACGGCTCTGGGATGTTTTGAATGGGAATTGTGTAAGAATATTCACTGGACATAAGGTAAAGGCGTATCACTCGCAGTGTGAAAGTGATTTTATTTCTGTGATGACATTCTGAAGTGTTCAGAAGGAATTTGGCTTGACTGACTGAATGCAAGTAGACTTAATTAACTTGTTTGGTCCCCCTGCCAAATGTCTGTTTTAGGGACCAATTCATTCATTGGCATTTTCTCCTAATGGACGATTCCTGGCTACTGGAGCAACAGATGGAAGAGTTCTGCTGTGGGATATTGGACATGGCTTGATGGTTGGAGAATTGAAAGGGCACACTGACACTATCTACGCGCTCAGATTCAGTAGAGATGGAGAGATTTTAGCATCAGGTAAAATTCACCAGAAACAGTGAAGTTTCCGTTGTGTTCTGTAAGCCTGATGAGGAATGATATAATTGATTCCTTAAATCAAGGAAGACAAAGTAGAAACACTTGCTTTGCAAAAGCAGCAACTTAAAACTGCCAGTACAAAGTGAGTACTTCACTGGACTGCAAAGTATGAGTCCTCACTGTCCCAGGAACTGAAGGAAAGGTGTTATGCCTTTCATATAGAAGAGAGTAAAGGTTGGGATCTGTGTAATGTTGGGAGAGGAATCTGAAGTTAGAAATAACTCCAGGGCAGGTAAGTGGCTCAACTAGAGAGGCAGAGGATACTGGAATTAGAGTGGCACGTGGAGCAGGACTATAAAGAAGAGAGAGGAAGGGATAGAAAGGAAAATGTTGTCTACACCCTTACTATTTCTTCGTGGTAGATTTTTGATATAGAAAAGTGCATGTAACGTTAACAGTCACTTCTATGAGCAGCAGAACTTGTGAAGCCTGCTTGTTTTTCCTCCTTGTCCACCTGAATTATCGGGTGTCTAATATAACAGAGGTTCTTTGCCAGTTTTCACCTTATGGAGGCATAAAGTTTTGTTTCTCCACGTTTAGTGAACTCTCCTTAAAATGTATAGGAATGTAATGAATTTGAAACTTGTTCTGTTCTGTCAGCTGGTTGGAATTGGCCAACAAGTTCAAGTTATTGACAGAAGAAATGATGGACAGACACTGTAATTACATCAGGGTAATTTCCTCATGAAACCAGGCTAGGAATATTCTAGATTTATTTAGCAGTATGTTCCTAAATGCAGGGCAGTGAGAATCCTCAGTGAGCCACTACAGCAGGAGTGAAAGCTAACGGACAGGGTACTGGTTTGATCCACCCTGCTTGGTGGTTACTTCAATTTACCTAACAATGCTGCAGTGAAAGCATGGGCCACTGGGCCTGCAAAACGCCGCTGTCTTCCCTGTATCAAATAAACTGTTATTATGTGATTTAGAATCATAAATGTTTCCTGAAATTGGCGTCTAGCCCACAGGATGGTCCTGCTTTTTCAGTGCTAGGTGATATAATCCAAACCCAAGTGTTTTGAGAGAGTAGTTCTTTGTGCTTTATCCACACGGCATTCAGGTTAGATCACAGGAAAGCTGAAATCCTGGTAACTTTTATGTGTGCATTCAGTATGTTAGAGGCTTCTTAAAGTCTATTTCCTTGCAGGATGAGGGCATAAGTATACAGTTACAAGCAATTCTGCTTTTTGGGGTTTAATTTCTGTTAACTTCCTCCTCAGTAACTTTTTATATACTTTTTTTAATTAATAAATGAAAATAACCTGTTGTTCTTTTTAGGTTCAATGGATAACACAGTTCGTCTGTGGGATGCTGTGAAAGCATTTGAAGATTTAGAAACCGATGACTTTACGACAGCCACTGGACACATAAACTTGCCTGAAAACTCACAGGACTTGTTACTAGGTACATACATGACCAAATCAACCCCCGTTGTACACCTCCATTTTACACGCAGAAACTTGCTGCTGGCTGCGGGCGCCTACAGTTCACAGTAAATCGGGAAGCGCAAAGACTGACTGTGGCAAGTCCTTGCAGAAGTCACCTCAGGATGGGAGATGAGGAGGAATGTCTTGTACAGGTGGACCTAGTCTGTTGCAGGCAAAATGAAACTCTAAACCAATGCAAGCAGCATCTTCTCAGTTCTGCTGTTTCATATTTATCCACAGTTTGAAAATGCTGGAGATTGACAAGACATCATGGCTTTAAAAGAAGGAATTGTTCATGGTGCTTTTGATAAATATATATATGTATGTATATGAAAATGGCTGTCTCCTCTCAGAGATGGTATTGCACTCTGCTGAAACTTGGGGAAAGTTAACAGCCTTAGTATGTGTTCTCAAATGATTTTTTTTAAAGCACTTAATTTATGGTTAGCAAATGTTTAATCAATCTGAAACACAAGCAAAAACTGTTCAGTTTCAGAAAAGAATGTAATTTAATTCACTATAGCCTGGGCTGAGTAACAGGTATGGTGAGAGTATCACAGCAACAAACAGGGCATTGAAAGAGTAGGTCCTACAGGCAGAGGCTCGTGGGGAACTGCTGTGAAGTTACGTGGGCAGGTTTTATGCATCCAACTACTACATCCCAAAAACTCCTGTGCTCTTTGGAGGTATCAGAAACGCAGATCTGGTTATTCTGTTTTCACAGGCAGCCAATGCTGTAAGTGTGATAAGCAACCAGAAGTGCAATGTGAACTTTATTTACTTTCATACTTTACTGTATGGAAAAAAAAGGGGGGAGGGGACTAAGACACAACTGAAAGACTCATTATTAAAAAAGCAGACTTAAATCCTTTTGTTATATTAGATCTAAAAGAACTTTAAAAACCTGCATAGGGTTTAATATATCAAAATATAAATCTAGCCAAGAAATCAAAACAGTGTTGCAGAGTAAAGGATTAATCAGTCTTAAGTATATTATCAGTTTGCTTTTGAAAGGCCAGCTGATAATTTCCACCCACAAAACACTGTACCCCAGCAAGTCCTCCTGGACAACAACTCAGGCTCAGTGCTTTATTTCTACGAAAGAATAAAACATGCAGAGCACTGGGAAGTATAACTTCTTTCTGGGTCTTTGAACAGAAAACACCCCCAACAAAGGACAAGCCCAGTTTGGCTGGTTTTGGGTGTGCGTTTGTGTTTTGTTTGGTTTTTGTGGTTTTTTTTGTTTTTTTTTTTTTAAATATCTCTTACAGGCTGTATACAGGGAAATCTGTTTTGTGTTCCTCATTACTTTCCAGTAAGGGCTTGGACACTTGAACAATCTGCTGGCTCTCGAGTGAAAATAAAAAGACATTTCTAAGGTAAAGTAAATGGAATACTACCTCCCCTCTCATCCCTTCCCTAACTCTTGGCATAAAGGTATATTACAGGCATTATACATCAAAATAAACGGTGGAAAATCACCTGGAGATTTTCTTTAAAGAAAAAAATGTTAAAACTAAATTATTGTGGGTTTTCTTGTGTAATGGTACCTCAACAATATTTACTAGCTCTCAGTATGACCAGTTGGATTTAAGTGCAACTATGTTGAATCAAACAAGTTAGCTAAAACAAATAATGTACAGTTCGGACAGCTTAAAGAAAACACTGCCACATTCTGCCTTTGTATTTTGTACAGTTTTATACTTTTGATATTATAATAAATACTAAAACCACATAGTTTGTGTCTCTATGTTACCAGAAGGGTATTTTCTTCCCTCAATGGCTGCAATGGAAGCAAAGAGCAGTGTTCCTCACTGAGCACTTTGCTAAGGGAAACCAAGTAATTGAGAAATGGTTAAGTTGATGACTAGCTATAAATCTAGTTCTAAGGGTAGGCGAGGGGTTCTAGCTAATTAGATCTATTACACAGTTACATCATTATCCCTCTGGAAAGCTGTATGCAGCAGAGGGCACTTATGCAAACAAACTCATAGGAGAGGAAGACTAGATTTATTCAGAAGGCCCAGCATGTGCAAATGGCTTTAAGGATACACCAACTAGAGTGAGAGAGCACAAAGACCCTGTAATTTCTCTCCTTTTTTTCCAGCACCCATGCCTACCTCCTGCTGCCCTCAGTTTGGGAAGTGCATTTGCATGCTTTAGCATCACAAGTCCCAGGTTCAACTCCTGCTGCTGGCACCCTTCCAAGAAGTGTGGTGCCATATAATCACACTCACACATCTGCAGTAATGTGACATCTAAGGAAGATACTGAGTTTTATAGGAAGACACCGTGGAGCACGTGATAGACAAGTTCTAGTGCTCAGCAGGGAGAGAGCTGCACATATCTAACTGTGGTAGGAACACCTCGTTTATTAAGAGGCTGTGTCCAGGAAAAATAAGCACTGAATTACTTGAGTCACTGTTTATGAACATGCAGAGTTAGAGGAACTTAACATCAGCAAAGTGAACCCTTTTCTCTCTGGCTGTTACCTCCTCAAGAGAGACCAGGAACAGCAAAAGCTCAAATACCATTATTTGATCAGTCTGTTTTGGGAGGTTTACATCAAAAAACAAACAGGTTCTATGCAAAATACAGACAATGGAGGCAGAAGTTGTAACTTGCATTGTATCAGTAACAGTGAAGAAGTCACTTGTTTCCATGTAAGGTACTAGCTTGGAACGCAAAAAATGGGAGCAACCGGCTAATGCAGACCATGTAAGCTTAATGTTAACCCCTGTGATGTGCAAGTGTGGAGATGCTTTGATCAGCTGCAAGCTCTGTGCCTGGATGACTGTCATGCTGCTGAGGTCTTTCCTCAATTACTACCAGGCTTTAGGCTGTGTTGTAACAGCAGCAAAGTTTAGGTAAGACAGTAATGACAGGAATCAGCCAGTCCATCTCCACTACAAATAACTATTTTTGACAGAGGAAAAAAAAGCAAAGTGCCACATTTATGCTTTTTTGCACCATTTCATATTTCCAATAAAACAATTACTTATATTTTATTAGCCACAACAGGTCATCAGCCTGCATTACACTGACACAGATTGGAGGTTAAGACATGCCAGCAACCTGCCAAGAGAAGAGAGATCAAACATAACAAGTCTTGCACAGCAGTAATAGTAACGGAGCATCCCCCTTCCCCAGGCCCAAACAGTCTGTTACAAGCAGGCAAATTTCGGCACACCCAGGAAGAAATGACTGATGTCCCTTTAACATACAACAACGATGCTCGGGCTTACTCTTTTCTACTTCTTTTTGCAGACTAGGAAGTCAGCCTAGTTTTTTCAAAATGCCCTTTCAGTGGAAACTGTGTATTTGAAAGTGACTTCAGAATTTTGTAACACTTGGTTGTCACTGTACAAGAACAAGTCCCATCATTTCTATATGGGCCTTGCACAATCAGGTGTGCAATCTACACAGCTCCATTGTATGGTGCCACTTTACTGTGTGCAGAGGAAGGTTTTAACAGACTGCATTAATCCCTGCTTGGAATTCTCTAATACAACAAAGTCCTCAATTACTACTTGATTATTTCAATAACCTACAAAGCAACAGTTATCCCTGTTTTACAGCAAAAGGATGGACCAGAGGCACTTAATAGTTGTAGGCAAAGCCCGATATACCCAACTGCAACATCCTTCCATTCCTCCTTCCTTGCTTACTCTTCCCTAGTCCCGTTTACCACGTCAGAAGAACAAAAAGAATAGTGGTATCCCATACTTTCTGCACCCGCTTTAACAACATACTTCATTCAGAATGTCCCCAAATAAGCTGATGCTTATTTGTTGAGGTTTAAAATGATAAATACGAAGTTCACATGCCCATTTTTCTTTCTCTCTCAATTATATTGTATTATTAGCAACTTGTCTGTCCTTTGTCAGTTCTTCCTGGGGTGGCATTGAATCATTTTGGTCCTGGAAGAACACCAGCCACTTACCATTTACTTATCTGCCACAGCAGGAGTTTTCTTTTTAGGTCTAAGTTTGAAATACAAGATGAGCATTGCAACACCTGTGTATGTTGCTATTACATACTGGAAAACATAAAAGTTAAGGTTAGTTTCAGTCTAAAACCCCCAAACCACCATTATACTAGACTACAAAAGTTAATATGCATTAAGATACGTACATTCCTCCTGCCTGTGATGGTATAGGAATTGAAGTACTTCTGAAACCCAGTGAACTGGTGTTGAGATCCCGAGTCATGGCCAGCCATGGTTGCTTGTCCTGCCAAGCAATACAGGACAGTTAACAAGTTTTACAGTCAGCTGGACAGGATCAATAGAAAAATCAAACTAATCTCTACACTGAACTTAACACTTCCACTGTCAGCTATTAAATCTACTTTCAGGACCTTCAACAGACAGTGGATAAACATAAGGAGCAGGCACATTCAGAGCACTACATCTTAAGGTACAAAACAGGTGACACCAGAGCAGACGAAGAAATGAGGGTTTCTGAAGGGAGGAACATTTACGATTTTCAGTGTTCATTCAACTGAATTTAAACATGGGGGAAAAAGTCAATATGCTGATGATGACAAAAGGGAAAATTCCCGAAAGCGCTTATAAAGAACAAACCTGCCAGTCCTGCCTACACAACCACTCAACACAGGCTGATTTCTACCAGTTGTTCAGGAATCAGCAATACCTAATTCAAGTAAATCTTCACTGGTTCAGCTAAGAAATAGCTTCAATTACATACCCAAAAATTTGGTGACATGATTCAGACTAAGACCACTCCTCTGTTTTGTGATTTAAAATACCATTTTACCATTTTTACGCCGTATTAGAATTCAAGTGTTGTCAAGAACCACCCAACTCTCAGTTGCACATTTCTATTTTATCTTACTTGCCTACCCTCATATTCACAGATCTAGATAAAAGATACACTTTTTTTTTTCCTCCAGTTAGTTTTCAGTTAGATCAGCAAGTTCCTTGAGCCAACTATAAAGCCTCAGAAGCGCTTTCACAGGAACAACAAAAGCACTATGTACATGAGGACACACTTTTACATTTTATCTGTGTTTGGACCAAAGTTTCAGGCCTACTGTAAGAAGTTCCTTAACACAAAAGCCTGGCATGGCTACAGTCGCATCCTTGCAGATTCACTGACTGGCTGAGATTGGCATCTGCCAAACTTCAGATCTGGAGATTGCACAGTCCAACCCCAACGAGCTTGAAGCAGGGGCAGCTACAGCAGGTCACTCAGGAACATGCCCAGTCAGGTTTCTAGTATCTTCAGAGATGGAGATTCCACAACTGCTCTGGGAAACTTGTTCCAGTGTTTGATCACCCTTATAATAAAAGGGATTTTCTTTTTAATGTTTAGAGATATATTTTTCTAATGTTTAACAGGGTTTTATGGTTAGGACAAACACTTGTTGTTTATCATGTAACTCACCTCAAAAGAGGCACACACACCATAGTTATCTACCAAACCAGGGAGACGCTGTGGCCACCAGTAGCCCAGAAAAGGGATACAAGAAACTCCTATAGCAGGTGCTATGTTCATTAACACAGCTGTTATGCCAACCCAATCTAGTAATGTATCTCTGGTGTACAGTAAGGTAAGCATGCCTGTAACTGGATTAACTAATATCTAAAAATCTTAACGAAATAAACCCCCCAGGCATCTGCCGTCCATGACCTGGAAAGCCAAAGTAACCTCCTTTTTTTAATTTTTTTTTTTTAATGCCTGACCGATGTAAAAGCCTAGAGAAGAGTCACCGCGTTCTTCCGAGGACGGCTCCGAGCGCAGACATCACAACACAGCTCTTCTCTATGGGAAGAGC